ACCCTGATTCCAAACCAACCATGATGAGACGTACGAACCACACCCACACCTTTTCGGTTGTGGCAGTGGTCACCGGCTCGATTGGGCATTGAGGTGTATTGGGCACCTTGGACGTCTGACCCCGTCCGAAGGGCGTATGATCCGATGAACTGGACACCGGCTCCCAATGGACTGCGGTTTTCGCACACTGCCCCGCTGCCTTGCGGGTCAGGCTTTGGCTCGCCGAAGGCTCCGGTTGTGGATTCCTCAAGAAAATTCACCTGCCTTGGCCTGGGCAAACCTGGCAGTACTCAGCCTACAAGCCAATGATGGAACATTTTTCTTTTTATAAAGATCGTTGTACCATGGTTTGTTTGGCACACAGTCTGTCCTCAGACAAGTGTGATATATATATATATATATTACGAGTGCGGGTGAACTATTTGCTTCGTAATCACGAAAAGCCATGATCCTGATAACGATTTCTGAACTGTGCGAAGTTGAGGTGACGTTTCAATTTGCAATGTACCTGTTCAGTACAGTGAACAGCTCACAGATTCGCACTGTTTACCTGAAGCGGATCGGTTGAGAATGCAACTCAAAAGCTTTATCATCCAAACTACGAACTTTGTTAACACTAGGTCGTCATAACATGTATAAGTTCGCTGCGTAAACTGTGACGAACTAAAAAGTTGCAAAGCATACCGAATAACTTGGACATTCAGGGGAGACAACTGCCACCATGAAAAGACTGACATCCGCAGAAATAGCATTCAACCCGGTCGGTTGCAGCTATTTAGAATAATCCTGAAGAACCTGTATATATCTGTTTTCACAGTAAGACGAAGCAGTAAAAAGAGACAAGTACCTAGGTAATTGCTTAGTTTTTGAGCAGTATGAATAATCTCAATTGGGGATTTCCATGCCTCTGTAAGTCGGATGGGTGATTCAAACGTGGAAAGATCACTGCTATTGGTGTGGTTTGGTATCTCAGCTGGTAGAGCGTGGGCAGTAGGTGGCATACATGAATGGGTTTGAATCTCACCGAGGCCGGTTATCTTATCAGAATTCACGCTTCTGACTGTTTCACCATCATTTATTTGAACGGAAACACGGAAACATATAGGTTAAAAAAACAGCTGTTTGTTACTCTCCGTAATTTATCCAACTGTTCATTCTGTAGTGTAACCTCTGATGCGAGTTGATACTAGCAATGGAAATAACTGAACTTATGTTATTCCACAGAACCGTCCTTCTTGTTATGCCGAAAATTCTTACCAGCATAAGCGAAGCTACGTTTTCCTGATAACCTAAAAAAATTATCTGGATTGCTCTAAATCAAGCTGGATTTCGGTATTCAATGGAGAGCGAAAGGAGTACAGATAGGAATAAAATCATAAACCGGCGGGCGAAACCAGGACAACACGGTCTTATCTGATAGCAACGATTAATCTCCGTAAGTTTGGTTTGGAAATGAATCACCGGTTCTAAGAAACTTGTATAGAAGTGAATACATTTCTCAGGAATGAAGTGATTTATACATTCAACCTTTATCTACTTGAGACAGGAGGATCGCGATCGCGCTTGGTATGTTCATTTCAATCAGAGCGCAAATGGGGAGAAGTTATCAATCATAAACAAAGCGTACACATCTACTGATCATCGCTGAGATGGTTTGGACTCTTTTGCATGCGCCTGTTATTGGCAAGATAGGATTCAGGGAGTTCCAGCTCCTCTTGATGTGTGTAGTTGCACAGTATCGGCTAGGGCCAACGCAGACGAAGTATAAAGGCCATAGGCTTCTGGGCACAAGGTGATTGACCGGTAATGTTCCAATCATCCTTAGTCGGTATGTTGCGATTACGTAACAAAACCCAGAATATGTTCACAGGGTCTACTTTGTGACCGTTTTCAACGAAGTCGCATGCAATGGCCGACGCTGGTTCGTCTGATGCAATGAGAATGTGTAGGTCATTGACTCAGGCACGCACTTAGAGATATCGGCAAAATCATGCGATAGTTATGGCTAAGGGAGATGACGGGAATTGTGCAATACACATTTTACGGCATTTTGATGTCATCCTGCTTAATAACACCCCTAA